CCTTTCCTGGGACTCACTTGGTAGCCCAGGCTGGCCTAGAACTCACAGAGATCCGCCTGGCTCTGCCTCCCGAGTGCTGGGATTAAAGGCGTGCGCCACCACCGCCCGGCCTCTTTTTTGTTTTTACTCTTACATTTATTTAAAGTTTGTATCCTTACACTCAGCTTCTACTTTGGTTTCGTAGGAAAGTCTCACTATATGTGTGGGGTCAATTTGTATCCTTAGACTTGGCTTCTGCTTTGGTTTCTTAGGAAGTCTTATTGTATGTGTGGGGTCAGTCCTGCCTCGTCTCTCTATCCGCTAGCTTTTCTCAAATTCTCCCAGTGTCTTCTCAATGCTTTATTTCAGCTTTCTTGCTTTTTTTCATGTCTATAAAGAAATGATTTGTTACTCTTCTTAATCTTGTGTTTCTTTTTCATTTCCGAAAATGGCTTCTCCTTTTATTTTGAATTGTTGGCTGAAGTCAGTTACTCAGTTTCTGAGTTCCTATAGTTCTTATTCATGTCTACATCTTTCTGTTCCTGGGCCATTTCCCAGCTAGCTTGGTTCCTTTTGAAAGTACACTTTCAGACTGGTTCCCACTTTTCTTTCTGCCTCACCGTCTTACCTGTGGGATGTTATTCTGCTCACTTTTCTCATATGGGACTTGAATGTCGTCTCTTTCTCTGTATCTTGTTCTGTGAAATTACTAGTGTGAACTTTTAGAAGGAACTGTCCAAAACTAAACCTGCCTCCCTGGATTTCCTGATTCCCCTTCCCCTCCAGCTGCTCCAGACAGCACGATCCTTCTCAACTGTTCCTCCTGGTGTTCTCAGTTTGAGGACCTGACAGCCTCTTTGTCTTCAGTGGTGTGGGAGAGAAGGGCTGTGAGCATTCTGGAAGGGAGCTGTGGCCTATCAATATAAAGAGCTACTGAATCAGGAGGCAGGGACTCCCAGGGCCTTCCCAGGGGCCCCTTTGTGCTCCTATCTCTTTGTGCAGATTATCTGTCTCAATGTGATTGTTTGCTTGTGGCCATCGCTCTGTGGCCGGATATCCCTGTTTTTTCTCTTTGGCTTTATCCTGCCTAGTTCTCACGTATCACAGGTGCCCTCTAATATCTCATCACTGCTCCTCACTGGCTCACTATTTGGGCTTGTGGAAATGATTCAATATTCTCTATTGGTTTTGACTTCCCTGTCCTGCTGTATTTGATGTGCAAAACCATTTTTATGTAAGTGACTAGCTCTTTGGAATCTCGTGGAAGGCATAAGAAGAAACACTTTAGGCCCGGATTTCTCTTAACCTTCCTCAACTTTTGAGAAGCAGGGTTTAATTTCCTTTTTAAAATCCTTAATAACCATCACATTATTCTCTTGTACACTTTTTGCAATGTTTGTCCAAATAAGAAAGATGAGATTTGGGAGTGCTCATCCACTGACCTCGTGAGAACCGGACAACAGACAGAGCAGCCTTTGGTCTGTTTCCAGATAAACTCTGCAACTCGGTGACTGCGCTGGCTCTCCATATCTGATGGGAGCTGGCGAGACCAGGCTTTGAAGTCATGCTCACCTCTGAGCAAGAAATCTGCAGAGTGACCTAAATTCACAAATACCTGGCCCTATCACAGGTTTTGCTAAACTGTGGTCTTTAATAGTTCAGTGATATCACCTAATATTTGGATTTATTTTAACTGTTTAAATTATCTGTTATTTATTCTATAGGTTCATTCACCTCATTTATTGGTATGATTCATTAAGTTAATGATGGCTTCCATCAAGGTTGTGTAAAAAATGTAAGAGTAAGGGCAATTTGAAGATATTTTTATTGAATGTACAAAACTTTGAGGAAACCCCATATTAGGTAAAATGACTACTCTCCAAGGTTTATCGTTTGTTTACTAATGGCAGTTTATAAAACCCACCCTGATTGCCTAAAATAACCGACCTTCCTACAAAACAAATACTTATTATTTGCATCTGCCACACCAGATATTAAGACATGAGCTCTCCAGACAGCCCGTGGGAAGAACACATACACACTTCAGTACATCCTCAGTTGCAGGAGGAATGGTCTCTAGCTGATGGGTCTGAGGAAGTAGGTAGGGTTTGGGAGGTGGGAATATGGATTTTCCTTTGCGATGGGGACAAGAATTCAAGTCAGGCAGGAAGGCTTGCTGCTGGGGTGAACAAAGGGTGTAAAGATACAATGTGGCCTGGAAGGCTTGAACTTCAGGTAAATTTTGGTTTACAGAGGTAAGTTAGAACGTCTATTGGAGTTGAATGGTTCATGATCTAAAGGGCAAATGATTCTTCCTGGTTATAGGCAGCCTAGAAAACAGCCTTCAGCTGTTTAGGCTTAGTCTTTTCAAGAAAATTAGTCCTGAATTGACTCTGAGTTAACTGTCTACACATCATTTTTGCACATTTACAGAATGGACCTTATATCTATATAAATAATACAAATGCTTTCTGGAAGAAATTTTTGTTTGGGGAATTTTGAGTCAATGAAGAAACCATCAAGACCTAGACCCATTGTTATCAACCTGTGGGTCCCAACCCCTTTGGGTATTGAATGACCCATTCACAGGGGTTGCCTAAGGCTATCTGCATTTTTTACGTTACAATTCATAATGGTAGCAAAATTACAGTTATGAAGTAGCACTGGACATAATGTTGTGGTTGTGGGTCACCACCCCACGAGGAACTGTATCAAGGGTGTATAGTGTTAGGAAGGTTGAGAACCACTGAATGAGAAGCTCTTCTTCACTCAACAACACATCAGTAGCCAATTCGTCATTTTTGAAATGTTTTGTAATAGCAACTAGAAAAAAAGAAGTGACTAAAAGCATAGCTACTGAATTTTGACAAATAGCTGATGGAAAGAGATAAGAGGAAACGGCAGTCTCTCACTTATCAATATCAAGATAATTTTCATAAGAATCTAAAAGGAGTTTGTATTGTTTGTATGGATTCTAGTCACCCATGAGCTCCTCTTCAACTATGTCTATAGATAAGGAATTGACAAGAGAGTTAGTTGTAGTATATCAGTATATCTAGATGGTGTAAAGATGATATTAAACCAAAGAGGATAATTTAAAGCCTTGTTACACAAGCATGCACACTGTGAGATTTAATGGATGAAATCCTAAAATCTCATCAAATCACATCCTCTCACTGTTCACCCGGCTCCTGTAAGTTTAGAGGAAAGAAATGGACATGTGTGCTTGTGCACATTTACCTAGTGCTGGTTTTAGATTTCAGGATGGTTCAGACTTTACATTTTCAAAGAAGGGATGCCAACTCTAAAGTCTGTGCATATATTCCGAAGTCTGACAAATGTCCAAATCGGAATACTGCTGACCTCAAGCATTGTAGCTGCATTTGATTTGTGTGTCTGTTTTATCTTCTCTTTTCTTTGATGGCTTAGACTAAGCAGATCCATAGGTCCTTGTACATCGCCACTTTTGTCAAACACTGATTGATTACTTTGTAGGAAACAAATGCAGCAGAGTCCTAATCTGGAGCATCTACCAGGATTCTATCAGTTTCCTTTATTGACAAATCAGTTAAGGTTTTGTTCCTCCTCATGAGTGTGTGCATCGACATTAAATAGTAAAATAGAAATCAATTATTGGTAAGAATGTAGCATTGGATTTGTATGCATATAATAAATTAATTGTTTGACCCCTCTTGATCATCTGGATACAATGTGATACAATTAAATGTAAAATTTTAGGTATTGGCAGATTATTTGAGTGTGAAATCACATAGATAGCAAAGATTTTTTCAATTACCTAAACTTTAGAAGAAAATGTGTGCCTATTTCTCCCCATAGTTCAGTGTAATCTAACATTGTCACTTTGAATCAGTCAAGATTCAGTATACAGGCTGTATTCTTACTATGATACCTGAAAAGGCTAAAGGAAGAAGAAAGGATAAAATGACATCTCAGACACCAAAATGGTGGTTTTGTGATCACAATTCAAAAACTTTATTCTTCCAGTCTATAAGCCTTCTTAGATTTTTCAGGGTCTGGACTTACATGTTATGAACATATTCATAATAATTATTGGAAAACTGCTTTACATGGTTTATTTTAGAATTTCACTAAAGGATTATAAGATAAGCAGAAGGTGTTATCCACCAAGCCCTAATGAAAAAATCCTTTTTTAAAAAAGAAGAAACGGGGTGATAAATAGATAAAGAATAGCAGTATAAGGACAGGTGCACATATGGGTTTAGAACTAAATCCATAGACATACCCGTGAAAAAGAAGTGAATTTGGCATCCTTAGAGACAGTGAAATTTTTAAAAAAAAAAAAAAAAAAAAAAAAAACAAGAGAATAACATCATTAGAGGTCTTCTTGTGGGGGGAGTAAACCCGGGTTAGTTCTCTGGGGAAGATGAAGAAGAAGGTTTGAAGGACATTTGAAAGAAGGTTGTTCCCCAGCAGGAGCTGGACTCTCTTCTGTGGGTACACCAGTTGTATGAGACGTGGTAAGAGGTCTGGTTCTAGCACTGTTACATGGGCCAGTAGTTTGAGAGGACATGTGGTCCCAGGTGAAGGTGATTTTTCAGTAAATCTTTGGAATTTGCATTTATACATTCATTTTGTGGAAATTGGACTTTGGTCGGAGAGCTCCCAGATAAAATGAAGGCTTTAGTCCATCCATATTAATTTTACTCTTATGTATAGATTTCTAAAAATAATTTTCTCCTTTCAATATTCTGCGTGATTATTTCTGTTGAACTAGAAGGACTAAGGTCACTTTTCATTTCATTTAAAGATGAAAATATATTGGTTGTCAAATGAAATGCAAACAGAAGACAATCCACCGTGCATCACAGAATCATTTTCTCTTCTAACCACAAGTTGTAACATTTTCAGGTGTATGGACAGCCTCATTGCCGTAACTATGGTCTCTTCCCTGTATCTGTTCTATTCCTGCATGTGCACAAGTAACTGTATAGTTTATCACTCACTCTGGGTCCTTGTCTGCCTGCTCTTGACTTTCATAGTCATGTGACCCCCATGCAATGCAGAGGAGATCTCGACATCTGCTGAGGCCTTCGCTGAACTCAAGAACTTGTGGGGAAGACTCCCAGGTGCGGCCCTGTCTCCTCAATGAAAACTGCTTCCAGTTCCAGTACAACCTCACAGGTACAGTCAAAATCCACCGTGGGTTCCCTGAACATTGACTAACCCTTGTGTGTGCACCCCATCCTGGCACTGTTGAGGGAGAGGACAATATATGTGTGGGACATGAAACACGAAGGACTTAGTGCCAGTTGCCCTTCATGAAAACAAACATCCAATCATGGTATGTGGCTGCATCAAGGACACCCATAATTTCTGAAGAACAGCTTGGCTTAAAAAGGTACTGCAGTAGAGTTTAGTTTTTCTCCTGCCTTTCATTATTTCAATAGCTTAAGTCTATGATATATTTTCCCCATAGGCAATTTAAAAAAAAAGGGAGGCCTGCCAAGTCAGGGATATCAGAGAGGGGACAAGAATCACTTTAGAAGAATTATTCAGCCACTGTGGTTGTCTGAACTCATAGAGCAGTGTCCAAAACAACACTTACTTGCTACCTACCATTGCCCCCAGCACGGGATATACAAAAATGCCACCAAATGTAAGACCGTGTTAGGTCTAAGCATTGGAGTCAATGCTTAGGAACACATCACCACATATCTGTAGAGGCAAAGCAACATCCTTTGCCCAAACTTCCCTGTTCCATGCACATTGGAATAGGGGAGGTCCCTCGTGAGGAAAACCTTGTTAATTCCATGTAGGTATCGGGTTCTTTCATGGGTGAATGACAGCACAGTAGATTCATCTTTTTTCTTCGGGTCTTTGGTTTTCATAGTAATTTTTCGGAAATACGATGGAATTTTGCTGTATTGGAAAAGCGTATATTTTAAGACTGAATTTTCTTTAACCATGTATAAGTTTGTTATTAAGCTCTTAGATATAGAAAAAAAATTGAAGAGGTTTTGTTAACATGGTTGAGGATCTTTCACACGCACATCTATATGAAAAGTTTTCTTTCTTTGTTGTTTTAAGTCACATTAATTATGGGGAGAGGGGCAGCAAGGGCCAGAACCACCTTGCATGGCTACAGCCCCATCTTTTAAATACCACTAACCAGCCCAACAAAACTAATTTGCCCAGGGATAGCGCCTTTGGGCACTCTCATAGGATGTCTTCAGACAAGTTCCCTAGAGGCTCTCACAAAGACACCAATCCCTTTTCTGAGATTCCCACCTTCATGATCCAATCACCATCAAAAGTTCCACTCCCTAATTCTACTACCTTGGAAGTTAAAATTTTGGGCGATGGTGCACAAACAGAATTGGTGCCATGGCTCAGTTGTTTTCTCTCTCAACCATCCACAACAAATCGTCTTAAACTGGTCTTTTATTATTATTATTATTCTGGTTAGTGTCTCTCCTATCCTACCAAATGATCAGTATAACCTTTTGAGTTTTTGTTTTCTTTTGTTTTACCTCTAGAAAAGCAAATTCTAGAAAATGGACTCCGTACATTTATTTGGCTTGTATTTCCTTGTGTGTTTGCCCTCTGACACAATGACTGTACAAGGCTTTCCAAAGCTACTTAGGAAGATTGTAAAATTGTGGACTCTCCCTCCCACCTAGGCAGATTATCAGAGCTCAGGTGTGGTTGGCTCACAAGCCTAGACCGTTAAAACTCAGTGTTTATGATCTTCTGCCTATAGAATGGAGTACATGCCAGCTGAGTGAAAATGCTTCCTGTGGCCAGGGTGTGAGGACTCGCCTGCTGAGCTGTGTACGCAGTGATGGCAAGCCTGTTGGCATGCACCACTGTGATCAGGTAACTTGTGTGTGATGAGCTCTCTTAGCCTTAGTCCCCAACCTTCACAACATCTAATAGACATTACAGACACTGACTGAAGAGGTATTGGGCAGGAGTTGTATGTCACTGGTTTGGACTTATTCAAAATAGTGGAGAAAGATCATTTTGCACTGAAGAAATGGAGTCATTACTTCTAAGAAGTTGTTAAAATACACTTGCTTTCCAACAAACTATTGGCATTTAGTGCCTTTACTACTGTGGTGTGAGTCATTATATTGACAGGTGATTCATTTGCTTGTGTAATAAACATGTCCTCATCACATACGATGGATGCTGATCCTGGATGTAGAATATACTGACAATTTTCTCCACAAATATCAATATCAACTGTCTTCTTCTTCTTCTTCTTCTTCTTCTTCTTCTTCTTCTTCTTCTTCTTCTTCTTCTTCTTCTTCTTCTTCTTCTTCTTCTTCTTCTTCTTCTTCTCAATCTATGCCAAAGACTGCCATGTCAATTTTCAAAATAGGAGGTTCTGAAGTTTTCTAATTTTATGAAATCTGGAGAAAAGCTACAGAAAGATCCATTCCAAAGAAGCTGGCATTCCCTTCCTAGATGTAAATTCAGCACTATAGGGACAGCTCAACAGAAACAGGAATGCTACCATACTGCAGGCATCACAGAAACGATCTTCATGATTGAAGACAGGATGCCAGTAATCACAGGTGGCTACAGAAATGTCTGCAACACGTTGACAGGTGAACAAAGGTCTGTCTCAGTTGTTGTAGCATGGGGGAAGTAAGCAGAAATTAAAACAAAGACTTCCTCAGCGCTCCTATACCAACCGTAAGTATTGTCACAATGTGCTCCCCAGCCAGCCATGTGGATGTCATCCAGGATGCTGACTATGAACCAGTCTGTCCAAGACTAGATGCCCCAATCAGTAGTATCCTAAAAATGGCTCACATCCTACAGAAGACTGTTGGCCAAATGTCATTGCTTTATTTGAATGTTTAATTTCATTTAGTCTGCCTCTAATACACTGACTGCCTCAGGAATGTCACCTACCTACAACAGTTCCAAATAAACAATGGGTACACTCAGACCTGTCCCCATGAAGTTAACATTCCTTCCAAGTGCATAAATGAGAAATGGTGTAAGGGTATTTTAACTGACAGGAGCACACTGTTGGGCTGTAACAGTTCAGATGAGCTGCTGATTTGTGTTCCTGTGTTGTTTTGAATAGTGTTACCTATTAGATTTTGGCTGCTTATATGTATAAGAAATATTTTTTTTGATGTAAGGAGAGATGTAAATTATTCACTAATAAAAGTCAGATTCTTTGTTTTCTGAATGGCATGTACAAAACATGTATTTAATGACTATTCATTTAAAGAAGTACTAAATTATTAACCTGCTGTATCACACCAATAGTCACAGGTCCCTTTATGGTGCTTTATGCATTACCCACTTAAAGAGTCATCATGCTGTGATAACTAATTTTAGCTTTGAGTAGCTGTACTGATAATATTTAACATGTGTTGGGTGCCAAAGCTTTCCTAATTAAACATATAATCAGTGTATGAGTCACAGAGCACATACTTCAGTATTCACTCTCTGATTCTTGGGTAATTTATTCCTTCCCTGAGATGTCTTCTACCTTGGTCATAATAAAATGTACACATTTTCTCTACACACAGATTTCAGAGAAGAAAGTAAACTGTCTCATCAATTTCTCTCCAGATTACAACTGTAATTACATTGTCCAGTTGGTCATTAGGGGATTCAGATGGATCATTTATTTTATCTTTGCTCCTATCCTGTGTACCACTAACTTTGTTACTAATTTTGATCTCTCTGTATACCATCAGCCAATCCCAGGGTGTCCGGATTGAATGATGACATGTCTTCCTGCTGACTTTGTTGCTGACTGAGCAACATGGTAGATCTCTGTGCAATGTGATCTCATACTTTCCCAGCACCTGAGTGTCAGGTCTCTGCTAGAGTTCAGTGTTTATAATAAGAAATTTTGACTGACCAAATGTCACCAGTGAAATAACAACAGTCATTTCTGTGCCGACCGATTTATATAACAATGGACACTTGTTTTCCCACCACAATGTGGAAAGGTTATTTATTACAGAATAAAGGGCACTCTCGCCCATAACAGAATAGTAATCTGGTTTAGTATTGAAGGTATATCTTATTGCATTTGCAGCGGAACCTGGAAAAACCCCAGAGGATGAGTATTCCCTGTTTGGTGGAGTGTGTCGTCAACTGTCAGCTCTCAGGATGGACAACATGGACAGAGTGTTCGCAAACCTGTGGCCAAGGAGGTACTCAGTTTCCCCTGTTTGTTTCTACTACTAAAAGTAGCTTTATAACTGGCAAAAAAGCATAGTGAACAGCTGAAGCTGACCCCAGTCTGACCCAGAGAACAGACCTCTAAAGCAGCCCAGCAGGCTCAGCAGAGGTGGAAGAAATCACCTGGCAGATCAAAGAAGAGCTGGCTAACCTATAGTCAGTATCCTGTCAGAAAATCCTAAATTCTACCAGTTGAAAACATGTGGCCATGGTGGGTTTTAGACTATATATTATGTCAGTATAGCTGGACACATTGACTAAAGACTTGTTTCTACCCAGGTGCAGAAAGGGCTTGGCTTCTGTCTGCTTCAAAGAATTAATCAACCACATAGGTTGACAGAGACCATAGAATGTTAACAACCCCATTTTCCTGGATGGTGACACCCTTGTGGATGCTCTTATGAGACACATTGGAAATTATATACTTCTCTTCCTTATATGTTCTATGAGAGGAAATTTAGTGCATGTTCCAAACTCAAGGCAAGAAGGTTAAGACAGGAAATGTATTTTCTGATGGCCAGCTGCTTCTCAGTGTTTCCCGTGATGATTAGGGGAGTGTGAGTCTTGGTGAGTCTCAGGGCTTTGGTGTGTAAGTATACACAGTGGCAAGGGATGTAGATGCCAGATAATTCTAGGAAGCAAGGCAAATAGAGAAAGATAGCATGTAGCCAGTAGGCTAGAGAAAGAGTCTTAACATTTATCTGTGGGTGAAAGGGTTGTGAAAGAAAAGCATGCAATGGGTATAGGAAAAACTAGAGTCTTGAGGGGTTATAGTTTATCAGCAAGTGACTGTCAGAAACTTAGAATAGAAACTGAGGAAGAAATCTTGGCATGGTTAGTCACCAAGCAAAGGAGAAGGAAGGAACTTCAAGTTGGAGGAATCATGGAATCAGGTAAAGAAGACATTAAGATCTGGACCTCATTGCTCACCAGCAATACTCAGAAGCCATTTTCTAGAAATCCTGAAATGGGACTATGTGTGAGCTTCCTTCTAATCTGTACAAATGGAGATAGAGGGGCTATTCACTCTTGCTCTTAGTTCTGGCTCCATGGGGAGCTAGACAGAAGTTAGCATGCAACAGGAGCTGAGAACTGAGCTGTAAGATCCCAGACAGGGCAGAGATGAAAACGGCATCCAGGATGTGCATCCGAAAAATGTAACTAAGGAAAGCAACTGTTTTACAAAAAGCATCACTCACAATAATAATAATAATAATAATAATAATAATAATAATAATAATAATAATAAACTACCCACAGATGACAGTACTGTTCACAGTTGTAGCAGCTAACACTACAGTCATCTCTCTTCAGCCCAAAGGTGATGCACTTCAGCCATATGCACTGCACCAAGGGCCATATCGGGATGTGCTGCTCCTGAGGGTAACATGCAAAAGGAGCTGAAGGATGACCTTGCTTGTGACAATGGCTATTAAGGAAGAGAGCTGGCCCACCCTGTCTGTCTCTGCTGCCTCCATTGCCCTGCCGCCTCCCTCTGCCCCAACACATGCTTTGCCCAGTGCTCTCCACATCTGACCATGCTTTGTCTCCTCTTGGCATGTTCCCTCACACAGAGCATCTCACCATCACTACTGCTGTTTCCTGATCGTCATGTCCATCCTTCCCCAGGGGCCATTGTCACCCTTGTTTGGATCCTTCATGAGCTAATCTCCTCTGTCCCAATGCAGCATACTAAATGGACTATGGGAAGGATTTCAGTTGTCTTTTGTCCTTATCCAGTTGATTTTAGACCATAAGAAGTAAAACTCAAAGGGAAGAAGAGTTTGCAGCCTGGATCATGAGCCTAAAGGCAGCCAGTCCCTTCCACTGCCTAAGTAATGAAGTTCTTTGTTCTCCACACCCAAGGCTAACAGGTCTCCACCTGTTAGAAAACACATTTCTTGTTATTTTTCCTAAAAAGTCTAACTGTGCCACTGTAACAAGCCATTGAGAAATAACAGCTCATCATGCCACCCTGACATGTCACCTTTACATGTAGAACTCCAAAGCAAATGCTTAGTGTTAAAATGTCACTTTACATTTTCAGGAAGTTCTGCTAATGCTGAGGACTAATCACACTGCAACTGTCTATTAGAAACCCACAAACAAAACCTCCCAAACCTGAGGCCCACTGTTGGGAAAGTCTAGGTAGTTATAACTTTGGCCTAAATTCGACTTTCCAAAATCCATAGAATAATAAACAAAGACAAAGGATTCAAGTGTTCAGAAGAAAGGCTACTTTCTGAACAGAAGCCATGCAAGTATGTAATCAGTCAGACAGCAGCAGCTCAAGCTAATTTTTCATAAATGGGATAACTTCTTGGGGGGGTGTCATTTCTTAAACCTTTAGACATCTTTATGTTCTAAACTGCTAGATGTAAAAATACAGCTTAAAAACTTTCCACAATCTTGGCCGGGCGGTGGTGGGGCACGCCTTTAATCCCAGCACTCGGGAGGCAGAGCCAGGCGGATCTCTGTGAGTTCGAGGCCATCCTGGGCTACCAAGTGAGTTCCAGGAGAGGCGCAAAGCTACACAGAGAAACCCTGTCTCGAAAAACCAAAAAAAAAAAAAAAAAAAAAAACTTTCCACAATCTTGACATATGAAAAACTTCCCAGTAATCAAAATGCGGATGTGTTCAGTCATTCCTCAGGTCATGAGAAAAAAAAAATTTGAAAAGCTAATGCCTAACTCTCCTGGTATCTCACAATGTCCCCTCCGACTGTCCAGGTGAGAAATAAATTACATCATGTATATTACTCGGTAGACACAATCTGAATGAGCAGCACCCCACCACGAGCTTGGGATAAAGCTACATGGAACAGATAAGATCTCAGGGCAAAGTACAAGAACTTCGTAAAGCCAGTACCCCACTGCAAAGATGAGTGATGAGGCCAACACAGGAATTAGGAATACCAAGTGATATAGTGAAACTAAAATTGATGGAACATTACAAGAATCTGTCAGGAAAGAACGGCGAGGGTGACATGGAGGAGTTGGTACTATGCCAAAGTTGAATGGCCAGGGTGTGCCACTGAAGATTAGACATACCATCACAAGGATGTTCAACACTGACTCTCATGAGCACTTTTGACAACCTTTGTGTTAAAGGCTTTAGGTTACAGCCTATGAACAGAAATATGAAGATCAGTATTGTTCCATTTATATATACTTGAACCTGGTCTCAATCTGATAGACAAGTAATGAGTAAATAGCACAGTCCATGGAGGAATTGTATATGTGTCTATTGGCTTTCTAAGCACCTTCTTTCAGACTGAGTGGAAAGAACGGTGTAACAGTGACACTCCACCAGCCCCAATCTTCCACAACATCGCAGCCTTCCTGCTCCGACCTAGGGGCATCATTCCTCCTTGTTTCCAAACTGTGAAAATTCTGTATTTAAGTCATGCCTCAGCCTGGAAACAATAAACAAGCAGTACCCATCAAATACAACCCTGCACAGCACAAACTTATTCCTGAATCGAGAAAGGTTACATGCTATCACTGGGAAACATCTGCAGATACGCCTGTCTCCACTCAGCCATGTGCCAGTGTCTGCCTTCTGTATGAACCACTCTTCTGTCCTGCTAATTGTGGTCAGGGGACAGAGAAGTAAGATGAGATAAAGTGTGCATAGTCACATTGAAGAGGGTGAGGGAGTTACCTGAGAGTCAGCCTTCAGCCCTTGCAGTTTTGGGCTGACGGCTGTATCAAATGTAGAAATTCACACAATTACCTCTGTTTGCGAATTCTCCGAGTTGTTGGCCCAGTGAGCCATGCTTCACCATCAAACCCACAGAATGTCATTGATCTGAGGGAAAGTTTGAAATGGATTCTGACTTCATCTTCCAGGCTTGTGAACGGCCTCTTTAGTGCCCACCTGGAGCTTGTCATATAGTTTTTAATTGTGTTAAAGATTTCAAGGTCAGAACAGTTTGAATCCAGTTTCAGGTTAGAGAGAAGCTGATTCTCGGCTTCACTGGGGGATCTTTTGAGATAGAGCTCCAAGATCAAAGCTAGTAATAGGAGAGCTTAATATTTGGATTAGTCGTGTTCTCTGTCTACTGAGCTGTCGTCAGCTCAGGGGAATGTAGAACTCCCTATATTTAGCATATCATGAATTATTCATAATTATCACTTAGCCAATAAGACTCTAAAAATGTTATTAATTCCAGACTATGATTCTTTTGCTATTTAATAGTTTTTATCTTTCAGTGTACATGAGTTGATATTATTTTTCTATAGTATGCAATCCAAAAGGCTTCTTGTATTTCCCAGATAGTATGTAATTTTTCCATCTATTCTAGATCATAATGAAAAAAAAACTAATTTTGTATGAGCTCCAAAGCATGAGAACTTTTCTTATTATTTTCTTTTTTTTTTTTTTAATGTTTCAAGATGTCAAGGCAAATCAGTAGCCTTTACTTTGATATCTGCATAAAATTTGACTGGTGTGGAATTCTTGGCTGGGCACAAGACTAATAGTTATAACAATTCAAACTCATTTACTCTATGGAATAATTGGTTCTTATGACAGGAGGTCAGAAAACTACAAAATAGAATGGAAAAAACTGGGCACATAGGCCCAGGACCTTGGCCTCAGAACCTGCTTTTCCAATGGCAAATTTTAGAGCTTTGGAATGCTAACTTGTCTTTTGTGGGGGTTCATGCTATTTTATTCTATAAAATGAAGCTATATCAGAGTGGTAGTTTATTTGTTTTTTTTTTTAATATCCTTTGGTCAAGAACACAATTAGCAGTGTCAGACATATTTTTTCACAATGGCTATATGCTGTGTGCTCTGAATTTGCAGTGAGGTAACAGGCAGCCACATAACCAGCACAGAGACACAGTGTGTCAGTTGCAGAGGCTGCATTTGAACCTGGGTGCACATGGTTCTAAGACCCTTTTCTCTGCTAGTAGCCCTTCGCATGTGATATTCTGTATTCACCTCCTATGCATATGATCCTGGT